CCCCCCCAATCCCTAGTTTAAACATTCCTTAACTACTCTACACATATGCCTCCCCTGGTTCCCCTCTGGTTCAGATGCAACCCATCCGGCTTGAACAGGTCCCACCTGTTCCAGAAGGTATTCCAGTGCCCCCTAAACCTAAACCCCTCTTTCCTACACCACCCTTTTAGCCACGCATTTAATCTCCTTATCTCAACTAACTTAGCCTAGCTTGCATGTGGCACAGGAAGGATTCCAGAGAATACCACTGTGGATGTTCTGCTTCTAAGTTTATATGCGACTTCTACAAATTTATCCTGCAGAACAGCCCTTTCCTATGTTGTTGGTGCCAACATGCACCACGACCACTGGATCCACCCCGGCTGGGGCCAAAAGCCTGTCCACTCGATTCGGAAGGTCCCCTACCTGGGCACCAGGCAGGCAAGACACCGTACAGGACCCTCTTTCATGGCTGCACGCATAACTGTCTACACCACTAATAATTGAATCCCCTACTACCACAACCTTCCTCTTCCTGGGGGGAGGGGGCTCCTCAGTGCCCAAGGACCCTCCTGCCTCCCCAGTCTCTTCCGGCTCTAAAGCTGGAAGCACCTGAAAGTGGTTACACACAGTCACTTCAGGTGCTGCCTCCTCTGTGAACTGTGTACGCCCTTTTCTATGTCTATGACCTATGTTCACCCAGCTCTCTCAACCTACCTGTTCTTCATTTTCCCCCCTCCCCACTTGTGACTTACATCACCATCTCTCTCCTTTAACTCCTTGTTGTGTTGGATGAGAGCCAGATGCTCCTCGAGGTCACAAACCTGGACCATGAGTGAGTCCACTAACTTACATCGCTCGCAGATGAAGTCCGACTGGACGGAAGGACCACAGCGGGAGGCCGACCCTGACAGAAAGACAGCTTTAAATTCACAATCAGCTAAAAATACTCCAGTCTACTTAAACATTCAGAGTTAATTTTGCTACATTAGCATATTTGATTAAGCAGAGACACTTTCCTGCTGTGGTCTGAAGGCCACAGAAAACTGATCGAATTACCTGATCGAATTGGCTGGTCCTGCTTCCCGTCCTCAGAAGGAGTTTGACATTGGGGGGCAAATTTGTGGGGGGGGGGCTGCGACGTATGTCGTGACTTTGCAATGGGCACATTGTGAAATGATGTTATATAAGAATGATTTTAAATTTTAAACAGTCGGATTCCCCTGGTCCGCACCAGTTCTAAGTCAGCTGATAGGCGCTGGCTGAGGTGAGACAGTGTGCTGCAGCCAGGGAGATCCATGAGAAGGGCCCGGTGTACATCCAAGGTTGCCACCAAGTGCCACCGTCCTGCACCCCGCATTCGCGTTGCCTTTGGAGGATGACTGCCCACCGCCATGGGGGAGGGGGGACTGGGCAGGATCGGGCTACCCACCTCGGTCACTATTTCTGGCTCCTTCCATTGAATATGTAGGAGGTCTCGTGTATGCATGAGCCATTGTCACCTGGCCACGTCCCTCCCCCCCTTTTATGGCACTGATGGGGATGTATCTGGATCGCGTTTCACTGTTGCTTTGTTCATCAAATTACCATGCGAATGCGATTTGAATATGCAGAAATGCGGCTATTTAGAATGTGAAAAGTGATCTTCGGGTGACTTGGTAATACACGCCCCCGATGCAAGCAAAATACTTCCGACAATGGACGTTTTGAAAATAAGACAGATTACGGATTTAGTCAGCGTTTTTTTCATGTTTCTATAATAAGATTTCAGTGAGTTATGAACTGAAATACACGAGAAAGATACGCGGCATCGCCGACGACGCCGTCGACTCCAGAGGGTTAACATATGTGGAAAGGTGTTAGGACAGTTGTGATACTCTTATCCTTTTCTGCGTATACACAGTGGCCCTCTCTGGATAAGATTGTCCACCCCTGCTCTAGATAGTTAAGTTCGATCATCTTTTC